TAGCAGTTTTTACATTCCGGTCATGCAAATAAACCCACCAGGTTTCAGTCATGCCAATTATATTTCTCATAATCCAGGAAGAATTCCCAATTCCTCTTGCTTTTAATTATATACTCACAAGGTGCTTCTCCCCGGTCCCTCTCTCTGGACAGCCACCTACGGTGAATCACATATGCTTATTATCACACGGTGGCGGGGGAGAAGGGTGGTGCAGTACTGCTCTAGATCTGTGAAAGTGTATGGCAGGTTCACGTCCTTATATGTGACAGATTGATTCGGGTCTGCAGGATACACCTCTCTTGTTCTCTGGCTCCTTCTTAAACGTGCATTTAACATCCATATTTATGGCCCATTCTGATGCATCCTTACATCCTTACATGTAAGTTCCACTCTACCATTTACTCCTTAAAGAGTGCTAAGGAAAATGTGGTACAGAGCACGCGAAGAGCTACAGACCCTTTGCCCTCAAAATGTAATGCCAAGAATACAAAACAAGCCTGTGCATACCCATTCCTGATCTCCCTGACTTTCTATGTAGCATGGTGAGCAACATGGAAAGGTTTATTTAATGAGACAGTACTCTTAAAAGGCTCCTAGGCAGCTGCTCTTCCCCCTGAATGTGGATGTTTTTACTGAGATTGTTTATCAGCAACTAGAATAAGATCTGAGTTCACTTTTTTTTTTTCTATTAAAGTCAAAACAAACACACTATTGAGGAAAATTGGGTAACACGGTATTGCTTCCCAGCTCTCAAACTCCTCTACCTGTTAGGGTAAGGTATGCCACCTTACCTACTTCATGTGTTAATTTTTTCATGGCATGCATGTTCTTGAGTCACGGATCTACAGCTGGTTTAACCACTGCTGCTGTCAGCATGTCACCTGTCCGGTATCTTGTGAGGTGTCAGCAAGCACAGCCCTAGACTGCAGGTGTGAAATAAGGTATGCGCTCAAAGTCATACTCAGATAGAAGTGAAATGATAGAGAGCTTGGCTCCGAGACGCCTGGCCATAGCCAAGGGATTCGTGGCCCAGGAGGCGGCACCAAGTGTGCTGTGCAGCGTGTGAATGCCAACAGGGCTCGTGATGAGCATGATCTGCAGAGCTCGCAGGGTGTGCTTTGGCTTCATCCCCTTCAGGAGGTGCACTGCTCTTACAGAAGGTGCCTCCACCCATGTGGGATCCAAAGCATCAACCCCACTCTGACAGGGAGAGCCTTCATCCTCTTTTTAGTAGACTGGGATTCAGCATCCTTTTGAGCCAGAAATTGTACTAAATGATTACAGGACTCACCCACCAAGGAAATCTATATGCTCATGTCCTTTTATTCCCAGAGGGGATTCAAAATTATATTTCTCAGGTGCTAAATGCTTTTCAGATTCTTTAGCTGTCCCAGACATGCTGGATAAAAATAAACTCTAGGTTTGCAAATTATTTCAGAAATAATCACAGCATTCAATCTCTGTTAAAGATGTCAGTGAAAACCAGAAACCTGCAGCAAGATGAAGGCTTGCTTCGCGCGTCTCTGCACAGAGAGTGTATGGCATGCTTTTTGCACCTCCCCCTCTGGAATCTAATCGACATTTCAGATAAGCAGTGAGAAGACACTCAAAAATTGGGGTAATTTTAAGGTATGACTGAGTCCCAGTCTCCCCCAGCCAACTGGGAGACCTGCTACCCTGTCCTTCCTGGCAGTATCGATCTTCTGGGAGCTCGTCCTGTTGTGTCTCACTACAGGATCTGCTGTGTCCCAGCTGCACCAGTGCAGAGATCAGAAAGTTGGGACAGTGCCGTGACTGTCGGGAGGGATACATCAAAAGCTGGTGGCTAGGTGAAGAACGTGGCTCACAGCTGGGAACATCAGGAGTCTCTGGAGAGTTTCGACAGCATCACAATCACAGTTTTACTGGCATTCATGTGTTCCTGGTTGGATTCATGTTGCTTGGCTTCAGACAACGTCAGAGAGGAATCAGGGAGAGGTCAGGAGCTGTAGGGATGGTGCTGACCATAGGCTGTGGCCATACGTTCTGCTGACAGAGGTGGGAAGCTATGGAGTGCCTACTGACAGGACTTTGCCTGGAGGAAGGCTGTTGTTGCAGTCATTTTCAGCATGTGGTTGGTAAAGCTTTAAGAAAGGTGTTATTGCATGTACGGAGTGCATCAAGCTAGGGATTTTGACTTATTTAATACACTACTGTCTGTGAGCTTAGTGGTATTTTCTGGCTGTTCTCCTGGCATCCTAGGGTGTTTATTAACAACACGGTGACTGTATGACTTGTGATACCTACAGGACTGTAGTCAGTAAGCGTGCTGCGGACAGTGATGAGCCTATGGGATGGATTACTCACAGATATATTGAGTGTTGTGGGCGTAGGTATAAGCACGATCACAGTGCTGTTGGACTGGGGCTGGCTGGTGCCTCTCTGCCCTGGAGCTCAGATAGAATGATCACTAGTCAGGCTGCAAAAGGCCACGACAATGTCCTGACAGTCTGGTGTTGCAAGCCCCTAAGTCTGAATGAAGACCTTTTGTGGTTATTTTACGCTGGCACTCGTCGGGACAAATAAGGAGCCGTGTCCATTACACAGGTCCTGTCCGTACCAGGAAACAATGGTAAATCCTGAACGAGGCAGCTGCCTGTCTAAGCCAATGTATTCCTGTACCTGGCTGGATTCTTTCTAAAGGTTGGTCACTCCTGGTCTGCTGACTGCAGAGTACTTTTCACCAAGTTAGTGCTTCAAATGAGAGGAAGCACACACGTGGCTGCTGTGGTGGTGTGGGGAGGGAGAAACAGCCCTCACCCTCCTGCTTTCACCATAACTTTCTGAAGCTGGCTTCCAGCTATCTCCTGAAATCACCCACTACAGCACAGCTTTGTTTACCCAGAACAGAATAGATCACTCTATTTCTCTTCTCCCACAGATAACTCAGTTTTCTGAGTGGGCTAGAGTCACACATTACAAGTTCTCTCACACATAAATCTTGGCTTGGAAAGCTTTCAATAACTGCCAGAAATCTGAGCATGCCTGATTGTCCCAATCCCAGCTGAAGATGCTCAAAAAGTCAGAGAGTTAAGCTGCTCAGTCAGGCTGCACTGGCCTAAGTTTATTTCCAAAGCAGTAAGACGAGTCATCTTTTTTCTATACTTTTTTCTAGCATCGAGAGGGTTACTTTGCTGCACTCATTTCATCATGGAGCTGATTACTGACAGTCCCAAGGCTGGACTTCATGAACTTTCCTTTTCATACATTATATTGAGTTTTAATGACTAGTTCTTGAAGCACTAATCTCAAAACCACCAGTGAATATACACAGCACCTTGGGTTGAAATGGACTGTGAGCTGCTCCCCAAGTTTGCTCCACTTTGTATTATATCCTTGCAGAGCAGTTTTACCAGGATCTCATAAACTTCCCATTATCAGGGAGGTTGTGTCCTCAGAGAGACAACACGTGGGATGATTAACTGTTCCCCTCTCCCAACAGTGGTGAAGGACCAACTCCCCACTCTACTCCTTGGGCAATGGCAGGATAGAATGGAAATAGCTCAGCAAGGAGGAACCACTATCCATGATCCATCGTTATCTCACACTGTTATCACATTTGTAAACTTTCTTTTCCTATGTAAACTTTCATACAATCTAGAAAAAAGCTCTTTCAAAAGCAGAGTTTGGGTTTTAGCTCTACCAGAGAGCTCTGGGAGTAGGGACTGTCTGCTTGCATCTGTTGGGAATTCAGCCAGTCCCATGGCTGCTACCCTCCATCCACCCTCCAGTGGTTTATTTCTCGGTAAGTGCCGGGGTACAGTAGAGGAAATAACACACAGATAACCTGGAGAGATGTCATCTCGAGTGGTTCTCAGCAAGTAAACAGCTGAGCAGGGAACAGAAAGGAGCTTTCTTGTACCCAGTTGTGCCCTTTAACTGCCATTTCCCTACTTCAGTAACAATAACAATACAGTCCAGGCACCATTGTGGGTGGTCATTTACTTCAGGGATGCCAGAAAAGAGGAAGTCTAGGCTACAACCTGATAAAAACAGTGACCTTTGTGCTTTCCCTGTCAATCAGACCACTGCCCTAGGGGTTATTTCAGGGGGAAAGAGATGTCCGACCCCCCCTAGCAACTGCCGGCGCTGCCTGTGGTGCACTCCATGGAGCAGCTCCCAGCTGGGAAGCACCGAGCAGTCCCTGGCTGCAGTGCCCGTGAGGGGAGCGCAGCCTGCTCATCAGAGGTTCGGCTGGCTTTAGAGCACAGACCCTGCAGCAGCCAGCAGGTAAACAAGCAAACCCTTGCTCTCGCTGGAAACAGGTTGCTTTTCAACAAAGAACTGTTAAAAGCCTGCCTCGCTCTGCAGGGCGAATCTGCTTTAGGATACAGCGCAGAACAGCCTGCCTCTGTGTTTATCACACCGAGCCAAACACAAAGCAACACCGGCTGGAAGGAAGTTGTTTTATACTTACCAGCAGCGTTGATATTTTCCTCGCAGGAGTACCAGATCCCAGTGTGGAAATACCTGAAAAGGAAGCGGTCATCTCCCGTCTCCCAGCTGTAATGAACCACATTCTGGTTTGTCTCATTTGCAGTCTCATTCCCACTGTAGTTGAGGCAGTTTGTCTTCTTCTCTTTCCCACAGCTCGGCTTGGGGACCCTCTGTGTGCCCTCACACCAGTGGGTCGTGATAAAGGCTGTTGTAGAGAAGAGGAGAGCCATCAGATTCAGACTCACTGCTAGCAGGGCTCTGCATCTTCGATTTGTCTTCATGGTAAATCCGCCCTCCCTCCCCCTCCTGCCGAGAGAAGAAGTCAAAGGGGTTTGTTTTATTTGGGAGGGGGGGAGGGATTCAAAACCTCTCACGATTCAGAATCCAGTTTTCCAGGCATCAAAACTCTCAGCTCCTTCCAATCGGTTGTTGTGGCGGCGGAGGAAACGCCGCAGCCAGACTCCCATCCTTCTCCTCACTGGCAATCCTGCCTCTGTGCCTCAGCGGAGAGGCTGACTCCCATCCTTCTCCCCACTGGCAATCCTGCCTCTGCCTTAGCGGAGCAGCTGCCGGCGCCCCTCGTAGCCACGCTGCTCGGGCGCGCTGACGGGATCAGAGTGGGGCTGGCTGGCAACGAGCACCGGGAGCAAGCGAACATCTGCTCGGGCACCGCACATGATCCCGAGGGGCTCCGCAGCCTCCGCTGCTGGAGGCACCTGCAGGATGCGCCGCTCCCGTAGGATGAGGCAGCGGCACGCGAGGCGGGCGGCAGGGACAGGCTGAGGGAGGCGTCACCTCTTAGCCCCACAAAGAGTCATCTTTTGGAGCTGTGAAATATGTTTTTTCCATACCAGAGGGAAGAGGTCTGTCCAGGAGGAGGAGGAGGGATGGAGTGGTACTTGAGGTTTTCTGCTCTGAGCTAGTGAGTGTGAACCAAGGGTGTGATTCTGCCATCATACTGGTGTAATTCCGTCTTCAGGGGCTTGCTCAGGCAGCCGGCAAAGCCCCAGAGGAATATGGATTTGCAAGTGTGTAATGAGTACACCCCATGTCTTTCACAATACCAAGCGGAGCCTCTTTCTCAGGCTTGCATTTCCAGACACAGCCCACACAGATGTTCTCTTTGAAGTGGGTCTGTAGGACATTTTGTAGGTCCTGGATTTTGCAGATGGAGAGGACTAATTGGAGCAAACCCTGGCCTTTACTCACCAGATGGCAATGCTGTGAGAGCAGAGAGCACTGCATAGTCTCCCATCTCCAGAGAGAAGTGTATTGTCCTGTCGCGTTGGTTGGCTGACTGGTGGAGTTTATGGCCTTTCCCAATTCCTTGGAGCTGTCTGGTGAGCACTGGGTGCTGTGAGGAGACTAGGCACCTGGTGCTGGTACAATCTCTAAGACCTTCTATCCAAGCACTGAGGTTGGACACATTTGTCCCACAACAGTTTTGTGTCCTTAGTAGAGGAATGCAATTTTCTGTGGTGAAGAATTTGCACATACTGCTGGGCTTTAGACCGGGTGAGATGCAAAGCTCATCCTATGCCTTAGTGCCCACAGATGTGAAATGTGGTGGTAGTTTCTCCAGCTCTTGAATAAAGCCAGGAAGGACCACGTTGGGGGTGTCTCCTTAGCAAGTCAGCACACAAGGCTTGAGGGACCTGTTCCTGCCTCCCCGATGCCCCCCTCACAAGTAGCCATCAGACTGCATTATGCCTCTTGTTGGTGCCTGTTCTGCCGGGCTGGTTCCAACTGCTTGTGAGATTTTCACTATTTATACAGAATCACTTGGCTTTAGCCATTTTGGTTTATAAGTAAAATGTTGCTCTGTGAGAACAAATGTGATGGCAACTTTGGAAAGTTAGTGAAATAGCTTTGTTCCACAGATACTTCCTGACCTAAGCGGTCTTCATTTTGCCCACTCCTACCTGTACACATTGGCTACTACCTCCTCAGTGCCAAACTTTTCCAGTGGCCAGTGCTAGCAGGGCGCTGCGTGCACAGTTGTCCTGGTGGAATTGCATCACTCCTCTCTGTGTTCCAGTCCGTTCAGCATTTCATCTTGCAGCCAAATCATCAGCATTATTTGGTTGGTTTTAATTGCATACAAGAAATACAGACAATAGCTATTTAGAGGACCACAGGATGATTACTTCAATTATTTTTACGTTGCAGGATATTCCACTTAGGAAAGCATTTGTACGTTCCTGCGTTGCTCAGGCTTATCTGCCTGCTTACAGAAATAAACACTGCAATTTCAGCTGTGACAGAATGCCTTCACAAGAAAGCTAGCGCTCTTCTTCAGGTTTATCTTTCAAGTGGCTGTCAGCATCTGAATCATCACACTTTTCCAAGTGTGAATACAGGTCTTTACAGGTCTTTTCTCACAAATCATCGCTATCCACTGCTCTGTGGCTTGTGTTTTCTGGTCCCAGCACCAACTTCTCCTCACTGTTTCTCCTAGTGCCCATTTCTCTGAGGGATGGGCATCCAGGAGTTTGGTTGTCTGATAATTTTGTCCTAAATACTTCTGAAATTTTGTTTTTACTGCTAATCCTAACAGATATTTATATTTCTGTTCCTCCTTAGCTTCTTCATTCTTGGTTTTTTTTGGGCTGACAGGGCTGTTGAGAACAGAGATGGTGGCAGTATATATGTGTGTGTATATATATAAAATCCAGAGTCAAATAAAGCAGAAATTTGGTTTCTTTTGGGATACAGAACTTTTACAGCATTTAAAAATATTCAACACAAAGTAAAGCATTCTCAAATCCAGGGAATTTTTTTACATTGTTTTCTTTTTCCTAACAGAAGTCAGTTTTTTTTCTAATTACTAGACTCCTCTGGCTGTGCATGTTGGGATTACTTGTAAAGAAGGAAACTAGTCTGCGCTATACTCATGCCGTAATGCTGCAATGATTTCTCTTTATATAATCTCTGTTTATCAGATTTATTGTGTATAAAAATGGAAAGATCATACATATGTTGCAGAAGGCAGTTCAGATGCCTGGATTAAGTTGTATTTACGTGGAATTATCTTTAATAGTAAACCAGAAGGGTTTGAATGCTACAGAGAAGTAGTTTTCATATTGTGGCTACAAGGACCTTTAAAATCCTTTTTGCAGCAATAGCTTTTCTCTGATACTGTGAGAAAAACTACCTCTGTGAGTTATAGCTAAACCCCTTTTCCTTTACAATTTCTTATAGGATCAGTGTAAATTGTTATTACTCACTATTTGCTCAAATACAAAAAGAATTTGACCCAGAGGATTTAAAACAATGATAGCATTTGCAAAGGAACCCTGGCAATCGGGCTGTGTTTTTCACCAGTGGGAAACAGAAACAACATTCACCCAAAGGAGAAGAAGCTCTACTTTTGGGTCCCCTGGTGATGATGGGGGGCATGGTGGGCTTGTTTATTTGATACCAGCAGTGTCAACTGCATGGGATGTTATGTTGGTTTTAAATCAACATATTAAAAATCCTATCGCTTTTCTTTAAGTTCTCATTTCTTACAGGTTTGTCCTTCTAGGTTTCCTCATGTGTTTGTATTATCCTTTTCAGCTGTCACTGGACAGGGCTTCCCAGTTCCTCCTTCCACCTTGGCTGGGACCCCTCCTGGTAGCTCATCTTTGCTTTTCCTCTGCACTGCTGAGCCACAGAATCCACTTGTTTAATTAATTCATCTTCCAAATGGTTCAAAATCTCCTTTTCTAGTCAGAATTTTCCTCCTTTGACAGAGAGATCATCATAGCTCATCTTTTTCTTGTTCTCTTACCGTGGCAAATATGAAGTGTAGGTGTGCCCCCAAGATACTTGCCTTGTCCCCACTCTGTCCAGCAAAACGGTGACTTCTTCCTTATTTCAGTCACTCAACAGGATTGACTTGTATTTGGAGAAGAGGGTTGGGATGGAAATGCTCTATGTGCTTCCCCAGATCACCACCATGTATGATAGTCACCGATGTGTCATTTGCCTTCTTTCCATTCCATCCCGAGGCTACCTTTTGCTGTTTTCACCTCATTTTTTACTTTTTGCTCTGAACTCTGACCCAGAGTAGTCTGTCCAGCGGCGATGTTTAGCACTCCTAGCCTGCAGGCTGAGCTGTACAATTGTGTCCATCCAAGAGATGCTCCTGAGAGACATTACTGATTTTTTACACAGATTAAGCCTTCAGCAAATGGACAGTCCCAGGAGGGTATATTTGAGGATGGGCTGAATACTGGCACCATATGAAATCCTGGTCTTCAGTTTAACTTTTGGCTTGAAGTGTTTCTTTCATGTGTTTTGCTTGTGGGCATTGAGCCAAGCACAAGAAGGAATTCTTCCTGTTCCTAAACTGACCAGGCAAAAAATGGCATCTGACAGTACTGTAGCAAAGACCTTTAGTGGTCTTGACAGAAAGGAAGGCAGTAAAGCAAACTGTTGATTTTCCTGTTTTTTTTTTCCCATAACAATTTCCTTGGCCCAGTGTCAGTAGACAAGACATTCCTAACTGCCCTTTTCAGAGTCACTGGTTTGGATATTTTAAAATTGGTTGTCAGTGTTGCTCATCCTTGCTTGGACACCAGGACTGTGCCGTTCAGTGACTCCAAGCCCTCCTTTCTCCTGGCAACAAGCGGGGTCTCTGTGTCTCTCTGATTTGGAGTCTGTTCCCAAAAGAGATAGATTAATCATTCAGCACTGCTGTTTGTATAAAAACTCTGTGGTCCATATATCTGTAGTAGGACTGGGATGCTAACACGTTTGTACTTACCTGGTATCTGCATGTACTTCTTCCAGCAGCTGGTAGAGGGGAAGCAAGATGAAAAGAAGCAGCAGGCCTGAGTCATGTTATAAATTGTGTCTAGGAGAGTGGACTGGCTAAATTGCCTTGGCTGAGCAAGTAAGATATTCCCAGGACCATTCCCAATAGGCCATTTATGTGTGTCTACCTATTCTGGGAATGAATAAAATGTAACACTATCCTACTTTTGACAACAATTAGACATTTTTCTGCCTTGGAGTTACAAGCATTATTTCCTCACAATCAAGATGCATACTGCTGGATTGGAGTAATATAAAGTAATAAAATAATAATAAAGTTTAATTAATATTCATAACTTTTGTTAAGGGTAACTTGGCTCAGATATGTTTAAGTTATTACAAGAAGTTACAGGCTTAGGAAGAGCTCTAGAAGCAGAATACACATTCGTTATTAGTACTGTTAAGGAAGCATTCTCACACATCAAAGTCTTACTGGCAGCTTGTGAGTCTTTCGATATCCATAGACTGCTTGACGTGGCAA